AACTCTTTTTAAATAAAATGTCAGAAAGCAAACAAATTGTATAATGTAACTTGAATATTTGGATTCATGGAGCATTCCAAATATTATATATTGTTATAAAAAATAAACCTTGGAATTTAATAATTTTTACTGCATTATGTATTTCTATTTTTCAAGTTTTTTTTATAATATTGTTTCACTTCTTTTGAACAAATACGAAAAAGAGTTAGTTTTATGACTTTTATTTTACAGTTATTATTTTTTATAAAATACAGTAAAATACGTCGACAAGAAAATGAACCTTTTACAAATTCTTATTTTTAAACAACTAAATTTGTTAGTGTATTGATTCTAAAAATAATAAAGACACGAACTAACGTCATCATTAACNTCTGTTAATGATACTTGCATAACATGTACTTTCGAAATTTTGTTTCAACCGTTTCAAAAACCTTTAACATCTGAATCATTTTAAACTTCAAAGTTTTATCTTAATAAAAAAAACCGTACTTATCATTTTCAATGCATTTAAAAGTGATAAANTTTTTAATTGTATATAAATAATGATTATCTATTATTTTTTGTACAACTTGCTACTTTATGTATTTTTGAAATCACATATTGAAAACTAAATTTTCAAGTAAATCAAATGATTGAAATGAAAGCACAGTAGTAGTTTTCGAGAAACTATTGTAACACGTTAGAGACGTTAATATCTAAACAATTATTCTCTTATATAACGATTTGTAAGTTCCTTCTTTACCAAAATCTACATCGATCATTTTTTAATTAAAATTTTTTTTTAATTAAATTTTTTTCTGTAGATTTGTAAAAAGAAGTAACGACGAAATTTAATTAAAAAAAAAGCTAAATAAATAAATTATTCAAAATTAAAAAATGCTTTTTCATTACTTTATTCTATAGGTTATTAATGAATTATATATTCTTTTACAAACATTTTTATATACTCACTCTCACTTGAGTTAGACGATTGTGTGATGCCTTCTGTTTGCTCATTGAGCTCCTCGTTAACGTCATCGTTCACAAAATCTTCATGTTCGACTTCATGTTCGACAATCGCAACTTTT